GATTAAACATTTGATTTCTCACCTCAGGTTTATTGAATTAAATTAGGAAAAAAGGATTCAAGGACGTTTGCTTTTACTTGTACAATACGGGTTAACAATATTACCGAGTAGGAAGATTTTGGTTTTTCTCGTTCTTTCTATTTGAAAAGAATAGAGATTTCATTTCAAGCTGATATATTTTTGCCAACAACTATTTTTCTGATTATGTTGGTCTTTTTTAACAAATATGGGGTGGAGATTTGAACATTAATTTGGTTTGGTAGCATTTCAACAAATTAATTATGCAAGATATTGTTTTTAAAAAATAGTTGCATTTTTTCTAGATATTAATGTTAGGTTTCTTTAATAATGGGCCCACTGTTTTATGAGTTTTTATCCCAACATTTGTCCTTTGGGGTAAATCCATCTAACAATTTTAAACTTTGATTAATTTATAATTTTCCTATTTTCTCAATTTAAGATATATTGAATGCATTATTTCGCTAACTATTCCTGCATATTATAGTAATATTTATTTTTGGTTGGATTATAAATTTTGGAAATAAATTATATAGTTTTATTTACAGTTACTACGTATATAATCAACAAATTATAAAGTGTTAACCATTTTTTTTGTAATACATGTTGGGGGAGGAGATTTGAACTCACAACCTCTTGGTTGGAGGTATATGTCAATTATTGCTGAGTTATGCTCGTTTTGGTGAGTGTTAACAATTTTATGTCATATTTTCATACAATTTATAGTATTATAATAATACTTTAAACTTTATAGTAATATTAATGAACCGATAGGAGTATATAATTTATAGGTATATTTATCTTATTTCTTAGACGTACATATATTATATGTTATCACTAATAGATTGAATGGACCCATGGCCACCCTCTTTTTTTTCTTCTTCTTTTTAATTTTTTTTCCTCTTTTTTCCTTTTCTTTTACTCCATCATCGCCAGACACCTAACACCTAACGTATCGGACAATAGTTACCCGCCATGAGATGTAATCTTAAAGTGGCACACATCTCTTTCAATTACTAGGTTGTATGTGTGTTTATCCAATCTTTCGTTTACGTATGGTTTTCCTACTTTTTTGTAGGAGTACACCAATATGAGGAACTCCATAACTATAGAGTATAAATATTACTTTCGTTCATTGTTCAACGCACCACTTAAAAATAATATAGAGCTCACAAAATAAAATCATATATTATTTAGTGATGTGTCAAATATATAGAAGAGTATGTAATTACGTAGTAGTGAAAAATCTTCCATAAATAATTCTTTAACCATTTGCATCATCGTGGCCATACTTATCAATATTTAACATTTCTCCATGATAGGAACATAGCATATCTCAATAATCAAATTCAACTAGAGTAAGATGATAAAACGCATATTTGAAAGGTGTAGAGTACCTGTTATTTGCCACCCAAACAGGGCCGGCTTAAGGTATAGACGAACGAGACGATCGCCTAAGGCCCTAAATCCTAGAAGGCCTCATATTTTTCATATATTAGTATATATAATATAATATAATATTGTTATCTATTTATTAGTTTTTACTTATAAATGTACTTTAAAATATAGAATAATATATATCATACACGTTCTATACAAATTAATAATAAATATACTTCTATTGAAAAAAAAACCTTTAATTAAATATGGATATTTTATAGAAAACCAATAATAAATCAGTCACACAAATTTTTGTAGATTTTAATTTTTTATCTTTTGGGATGGAAACAAGACTAAACCCCACCAGATTAAGAAAAAATGACAAGACGGACCATGGAGACCCCATTACATACGCAATCAATAGGGCAAAAGAGACTGAGGTTCTTTACAAACATGTAAACCTACGGGATGAGAATAAATACTGTTTGACTAGCAAGTCAATTTGTACTTGTACAAGAATCGGCTTCACAATAAATTTGTCGGATCCTAACACTTCATTCTAAAAAAAAGTGGTTCTCAATATTTAAGACCATAGACAAAAGAGCTCTCAGATTTTAATTTTATACCTTTCAAAATTTGTTACTTTTATCTTTCTCTTCATGTTTAAAACCTTTTAAATTTATTTTAAAAAAATAAAAATAAATAATAATATAACGTATCCCTCAAAACTCTCTCAAGTTTTAGTCCGTATTCTTTCTCCTTTTATTTATTTTTTTCACCATTAAAATTTTTCAAAATCTCTTAAAAAACTCTACCATAAATATATTCTGGTAGATTATACTAATTTTAACTTAATTCCACCTCTCCCAATCATTAAAATAGAAACCAAAGCTTCAAATTTTATTATTTTAAGTTTTTTCGTTCTATTTCTTTTACTTTGTTTTAATGTATTTCATATACGTTGATATTTGAGATTTGTTTAGGTTTGCTTGCTTGTATCAATATACAATATTAATGTGTCTATAACAAAATATGAATATAGATATATATGAAAAGCTTAAGAAAACATCAAATATAAAAATTTATTGAATCTAAAAGATGTGCTACAAAAACGGATTGAATCTCAAAAATATGTTATCAATAAATTTGTTAGTGACGTAAAAGTAATAAAAATGATAAAATAATAGAAGAAAGGATAGGTATAGACAAATCAAAAGATAAACAAAACAGTTGATAATAATATTTTTTTTAAAATTAAGCATCTAATCAAACAAAGTCAAAAAAAAAAAGTCATTTCCTTTCAAAATTTTGCTTAAAATCATATATCATCTCGAGACGTTCCTGCACCCAAATAAAATAAGATTAGCATTAAAGTAGAAGCTTCATCTCTAAATTTTTAAGATTGTTAAGATCTGGTAGACCTAAAACTTTTAATATTGTATCTATCTGGCCTGTATACTTTGAAACATTTCAAGGATTTACAAAAAAAAATAAAAAAACATTTCATGGATAAAGTAAGCCTTAAATCTGATAGAGACCCATTAGACATTGCATGAGTAACTTTTTTGTTTTGTGAGTGACAATGATTAGATGCAGTGCAGAGATTCTTATTCAAGGGAAATTGGCTGATATAACTCACAAAACTTTTTACTTTGTTCAAATGATTTTCTAAATCTTATTTTTCTTCCTAATAAATCATTTTCTGAAATGTCAGGGCAAATGAAATGACTATTATACTCCTCGTTTTCTTTATCTATCTCTTCTCTTGTTCTTTGGTTTTCTTCTTTTTTCGAATTTTTTTCTCTTCTCTTATTTTTTGATTTTGATTTCTGTCACTCTATTTCGATTTGAATTAAGGCTGTTCACGGGTTGGGTTGGGGGTATTTTTGGAATCAACCCGAATTTTTGGGTTGAGAATTTGTGGGAACCGTTGGGTTGTAAAATGATGGCCAATCCAACCCAACCCAACCCAATAAATTCGGGTTGGATTGCTGGATTTTTTTTTTTAATTGATTAATTAACCCAACCCAAGAGATGAGGGAGAGAAAGATGAAATTGAAAATGTTAGAAAAGAGAGAATCAAAGATTGAATTGAACCCTAAAATCAATTGTTTAGATTTTGGATTTAAAAAAGAAAAAAAAAACCTTATAATCTCGGGTCGACTGACCCGGAATTTTCAAGGGTCAACCCGAGACCCGACCCAACCCGGTCAGGTTGGGATTTTTCCAACCCAACCCAATGTTAGATTCAAGGGTTGGGTTGGGTTCGTCGGGTTCCTTGAACACCCCTAATTTGAATGAGGATTGAGATAAAACTCTAATCTTGGATGATTTTTTTTATTTTTTTATTTAGGTTCGATAAAATTAAACTGGGCATAAATCTCGGACTCAAATCCAAATTACATAAATATTGGCCTACTAGGACGAATTCAAAGAAAACTCGTCTGAAATTCATGCGAGTTCAAAGAAAACTTGTCCGAGATTCATGTAAAACTTAGCTTGGGTGAGTTGAGCCGTTCATGAATCTTGGGCAAGTTCAAATAAAACTTGTCCAAGATTTGCATGAATTCCGATGAGTTTGCATGAATCTTGGAGATTCATACTCGATATATATCAATTTAATTCCAACAGACTCAAATTATAAAAAATATATATATAGAGGTCGAGATTTATGATCCAAGATTTATGCCTATTTTAATTTCAACAAACCCAAATAAAAAAAAAATCATTGGAGGAAAGCTGAAAATCGAAGCCAAAAAATAGGAGAAGAGAGAAAATTGAAAAACAAGGGTGGATAGAAAAGAAAATAGGAGGGACATAATAGTTCTTTCATGTGACATTTCAGAAAAAAGCATTTATTAAGTTAGAAAAGTAAGTTTTAAAAAGGAGCAAAGTGAACTGTTTTTGAGTAATATCTGTCAATTTCCCCTTATTCAAAGGCCCCATCTCATACTAATTTCATTTCTTATATTCTACTTTTAAAAATTAAGTTTAGAAAAACTTATTTTGTTAATCTACTTTATAAAACGTTTTTAAAATCCAAGTCAATCTAAAAACTAAAGGAAAAAAAAAAAAGAGTTTTTAAAAACTTATATTTTAGGAAAAAAAGAGTAAACTTATTTTTGTTTTAGAAATTTGGCAAAGAAGTGTTTCCAAAGACAGGAAAACATACCATTTTTTTTTTTAAAATCAAACATAATTTTTAAAAACAAAAAACCAACGATTTTCTCCTGCTCAGTTTCCAACTCTATGAACCTCCACATGGGACAGAGTTAAATCCCTGTGGTCAAAGTAACCCTACTCTAAAGGGGTATTAGGAGGTCAACAGAGAATCTGAGATAGGTCCCTGAAATATCTTTCTACAACTTTAACTTTTATAGGAGATATTATAATGAATGACAACCCCAGGCCGATCCAACATTTCGACCCAACATCACTTATTTGAAAAAGATTTCAGTACTACGAGAATACCATACTCTCTTCTTTGTTCACACCTCAATTTTGTCTTTATAAATTATTTTTCTATTTTTCAATGTTGGTAGACCCACATCAGTTTTAACACGATGCTGACATGACAAAAAGGCGTATCCATATACCTATAGTACCAGAAATTTTCCCATTTATTTGTCACACTAGGACTAAGGATACAGTACCATACTACTGTTAACAGATAGTTCATGGTGATAACCAAGTTAGAAAACTACTTATAGATCTTTGTTTCATTATACAATTTTGCAATTTACATCAAAAGAGTATAAATTTTGGTAATTAGTTGGAACATTTTACTCTACAAGTCAAAGTCACAAGATGTAGTACCAGAATGTGAGGAATGCAGCAATGCCACTTAGTATGCAAAGTCTATCTAACCTGCTTTCATTCCTCATCTTCTCCTCTCTCAGTTCGCTCTGCACTCTCGAGTACAAATGACACGATTCCAGAACTTCGCTGTAATTTTTACTCCGACGACAACTTAGAGCTTCCTTAAGTATGAGTAAACTGTTTCGCCCGTTTACGTATGCACCCTCCATGTCTTCTAATTGCATGCTGAGCTCTGTTAGCTTAAGAGTTGTTTGAGTTTCCTCTCCCTCTGTATAAATGGCTCTAAACTTCATGCTAAGGATGCATTCTACCACTTGACATGGAAGAATGTCTTTTGCAGGAAGAATGGACCCGAAACGAATGACGAAATCCCGGTCTGTAGGCCAATGCCTTTGTCCACCAAGAGGTCTCCAGCTTGCAACGTTAACAGCTTGCTTCATTTTCCTATTTACAATAATCCAACTAAGGCGGAGTTCGTCACGAAGTTCCTGCCATAACTTACCACCCTTTCTTTCCCTGTCCATGGACATTATAGGTGGTAGACCATCAGAAACAGAAAGAGCAACTTCATGATCACCGTCTTCTCTCGACGCATAAGTAAGAAGATCAATTCGGAATGGGCAGTTGTAAAACCAACCATTGAAGCCATTTGCATTTGGAATTCCCCAAAGAACTCTGGAGCATATTGTTTTATCTTTGTACTTGATGTCAACTAGGGAGACAAAATCTGAGGGAGAAGTAGTTTCCAACTCGTCCATGTCACCATAATACTCGGCCTCGGTCAATTCATCAGGGTATTCAGGAGAATTGCCCCACTGATACCCGATAACTTCCTTGTTTACAATAAGAGGAAAACAATCTGCATAAAACTTTCTGAATCCTCCAATTGATATTATCAGGCTTTTGACATCGTCCCTAGAAGTTGAAGGCCACATGGAGGAACAAACATTTTCCCACAATTTTTCTTCTTTTGAAAGGGAACACAATGCAGCACAAGTGCAGGCTGCACTAGCCAAAGTTGGTCCATCTAAACGTCGTAATATGTCATAGAAAATATCTGAGCTCAATGATGTCATACTAATGGCTGCTACAACTTTCTTTAAGCACCATTTATCTATAACCAAATTGTAAAAATCAAATAATGAGTTGAAAACCGCTGTACAAATTCTCCAGGAATTATCTGAATGTGGAAGAACCAAGGAAAGGCTTCTCGCCGATCTGGCGCAAACAATCATGCAGTATAAGTATTAATAACTTCATGGATATAAGTTCATAGGATCGTATAAAGGAAGGCACCTAAGAGCATATGACTAATCAAGCTTCTCATCTAATAACTACTTTTCATTGCAAAGCTTTAAGAAGTTACAACAATGTATTGTGATAATCTGTGAATTATTATAATCTTTTCATTGCAAGGATGGAAATCTGTTGTATACAACTTCATTTCACTTATGATTTGTTTTCTTGTTTTAAATACAAAGTTGCTATATCTACACTATTACTCCCATATCTGCAATGAAATGCCAAATTCCTTCACCAAACAAGAGAACAAAATATTGAATACAGTAATTATTTTCACAGCCCTCCTCAATATTGAGATGCCACATAAAACCTTTTCTTCAGAATTGCAGATGTAAAACTTTCACCAAAGTATAAACGATCAACATATGTGAATAAACTAAAAGGCAATCAAGTGATCAAAGCTTTTGTAAACCAAATCTCTAGCACTTTATCTCTGTCAAACAATTCATTTTACTTGAGTCATACCAGGGATCATTCTGGATTTGAAATGAGATCAGCTTATTACAAGAAATTGGCAATAATTTGGATAAATATAACATTATATGTCGATCCATTTCACAAGTCAACTCCTTAAAAATTGGCAACCATCATACTATGGTAGGTTGATTATGATCACATATCAGGTTAAAAAAAATGTTGAACCATAAAAGGAGAGACAGATACAAAGAATAGAGATTGATTCTGGTTTAGGGTATCAGTGAATGAGTTCAGCATAAGCTATGAATAAATATAGTCAACAAAACCTCCAACAAAGAGAGAATAAGTTAAAACCTACCCTTTTTACAGTTCATGCATCCTCAAATGAGCTCTGGAATCTACAAACTTCACTTGATGATTGTATAAAAGGTGATAATCCCTTCTCATAGTCCGATAATCCGGAAACGCAGCCTCCTGAAGCCATAAATTTACGAGAAGAAACCAGAATAGACCAAATTGAGTTTCTAAAACAACAAAATTGTATGGAGATCACAAGGCGTGATGATGCCACAGAAAATGCGAGTAACAGTTGATTAATCTAACCAAACTAAGAAAGTTCAGAAGGGTAACAATGATAATGCGAAATTTAATGATAACAACCAATTTTCGAGGGCAACAAAATTCACTTTCACGATCCTAAATTCCTAAACAAAGCATCGATTTCCCACATAATGGAAATAGATAACAACGGTTGCCGGAATTGAGGAAAATTTTCAGAAAGAAAAGTAGAATTTAGCATCACAAACCTCAAGGACGAAGCATGAATGTCCATGAAAATGAATGGGGAAGGGCATAATCAGCAAAAATCAAAGAACCCATTAATCACCTTTTGACTTTTTGGAGAATCGCAACTAGAAATTTATGGGTTTAAAGATAATCCAAACGGTGGAATGAAATCAAGTCGCTAATTATTAAATTACAGAGAGATTACCGAGAAAATTAAAATGGAAATGATGGGTGTTCATGGGTTCGCCCTCCGATTTTCCAAGTGTCGTAAAGTTTATTCAACAATGTGCCCTTTGGTCAAATAGAGAAGCCAAAGCCACCTCTCCCATCTCCATAGCCAATCCGTGATGTGCAAAAAAGTAGTTTTTGTAATCGAATATATTTCTCATTTCGTGAACCGTTGAGAACTATCTGAACTTAGATGAATGTATTTCTCATTTGATATTCTCTCTTGTTAAGCTCTCATAGTTGTCAGAGTTGAAGAGGCATCTCTGAGTTAATTGAATTTTGAGATTGTCTATACGTAAAAAGAGCTCGCTTTTAACTTTTTACCTCGACTTTTGTATAAGGTGGTTCTATTTCTTTCGTGGAATCAAATTGATGCTAAAGGAGTCTTCCGAATTGGTGGGGACGCTATGATGACCGAAGATTATTCATGACCAAATTTTGACTTCTATCGAACACATAACATTGTCTAGTGAGCTATCGTTGAGGGTTAGCCTTATAGAGATCGAGAACGTTTCTTTTCTTGGCATACTTTTCTACTTACCTACCGTGCCCAAGCTTAGTCAGTTGAGAGATAAAATTCAATCATCTCATCTTAGGCCCAAACTCCTTAGAGAATACCACGTGTAAAACCATTAATTTACTTGTCACTCAAAACCAAACTGTGTCATTTTTATATGTTAATACATTCAACATAACCTAAGAGGGGAACCAAAATTTCTATTATATCGTACAAATTTTGATGAAATATATTTTTTTAAAAAAAACAACATTAATAATGGGTACGTAATAATAATAAGAATTTACAACTTATTTTAAATGGGTGGAAATGCTTGTTTATTAATTTAAATAATTTTTATGATTTTCTTAATTTTTATAGTATTTTTTTCAAATTTTAAATATCAATATTTAAAATATTGCTTTGCACTCTAAATTGATTTAATTTTTGAAGTAGTATATATATAAATACATAAACATATATACACTTGAGCGTCTCGAACTTGTAAGAAAGCCTTTACGAAGTATTTTTAGCTCAAGTGTTTGACTTAAGTGATTTAAATTGAATTAACACGAGCTCAGCAGTTAAAGCAGCTTGCTCATTTAGTAGGGGTCGAGATTCAATCTTTTTTTTTTATCTTGTACACAACAAAATTTACTTTAAATTGAAATTAAATATTAAAATAATTTGTAGTTAAACTTTTTTTTTTTTTTGACTTGAGCTTTTATGAATTAAGTACTCTTTGTCAAAGCATTAATTTTCAAAGTACTGTATAAGTAACACCCCATTCATTCCAACCAAGCAAGAAGGGACTTTTCTTTTTTTTCTTGTTAAAACTTGAAACACATCTTTATTCTCCAAATTTCAGTAAAGCATTTGATTTTTATATTCCTTTTGTAATGATTTGGTGTTATACTTTGAAAAATGGAACCATCAAATTACTCGAAATACAGGATGTGTTTGGAAGTGATTTTAGTATGACTAAAATCATTTTTGTCATGTAAAAATCGTTTCATTTTTCATTAATTGTGTTTGACAAATTAGAAAATTGATTTTTAGAAAAGTTTAAAATTACTTTAAATTAATTTTTAAGGTATCACTTGTACGGTGATTTTGAAAAATCAATTATATTTAAATATATTATTTCCAAAACACTCATTCTACCATCACTTCCAATCACCCATAGTCTCACATGGATTAAAAGGGGTGAAAAAAATTCGATTATAATCTACCCATATGAATGAGCATATAATTAGACTATAACACTAACTCTTCAAGAAATTTATCGAGACAGACAAATATCTTCAATGTATACATCATATCTCTAAAAGTATCTCGAAGATATTTTAAAAGGGCTCTAGATTCAGAGGTAAAAATATCTTTTACTTGGACCCCACAAACTTGCTTATAATAATATAACATCTATCTTCACCTATATATTAAATATCCACCAACACATCAACATTTTCCATCGACATGTCATGTATTCCTGGATTCGACATTGACATGAGAGGTAAATTGACATTTCCATTATAATATAAAAAATCAACAAAATATAAAAAAAAAATGTCGCTAGTATTTTTAACTTATTTAAAATAGAAAAATAGTTATTTATAAATTTAAATATTTTTTATGATTTTTTAATTTTTCTAACTTTTACTAAAATATTCATCGATGTTTTCATGAAATTAAAACTTAAACATTTCCATCAATATTGTCATTTAAAACTTCATGGTGGTGCAATTTTTGATTTGATTGAAAGAGACGATCCTCTGAATTTTTGTCAAACGCGATATTTCGACAATGAATAGTTCTCTCCATGTAGTAACCAAGTTACCTTGTCTTGATTCCACGAGAATGTCAATTGAATGAACTGAATTACCTCCTAAACTTTAATTGACAATTTCTTCTCAATAACTTTGACACCCAATAGTGATCAACTCTCCGACCTAACCTTAATCACTGTATTTTAACTTCTCCTAGAGTCTACCCGCCCTAAGGCCAACTTCAAGAGACTTGAACTCAAAACTAATTTCATCATTGTATTTCTAAAAGCACAAGTACCAATTCATGACAAAGACAAATTAGAATCAAGATTCATGAAAATAATGCACTTGACTTGGTAGATCAACTCTATTAAAGGCATTCAAGTTGGCACATGTCTTATTCCGATCATAATTTTCCTACCTCTAGGGGGAAGAGTCCTTCCTTTTATGGCCGGTTGTGGGCGAGGGATTTGAACCCCCGACACCATGGTTCGTAGCCACGTGCTCTAATCTTCTGGACTACAGGCCCCACCCCATCTACACTAGATCTGTTCCCGAGGGTACCCTAAAAAAAGTAACCTTTCCTCCCAACTATTTGCCATTTCAAATTAAGAATATGTGAAAGCATCCCTCCGTAAGAACAGTGCATTCCGAGGTGTGAAGTGAGTGAGAAATTAAAGAGATAATGTCCAAGCAGTGAGAATCTTGCTACCACCACTCAGGGTTACTCATTTCTGTAAAGTGTCATACCATACACATGTAATTGAGCCAAACTGATGAATGGAGTGCCCAAAACCTTGAGGATGTAATGCTATTAGTAACCTCGAACCTTGAGAAATGGACAAAAATGAAAATCTTTACTTTTTAGACACTTTTGTAATATGAGTTTAAATAGAGACCATCTAAACAGGTCATAGGCAAGCATATGAAAAAAAAAGTAGACATTCATTTTCATCGTAATCAACTCAAGTACTCCTGCAAAATAAAAAATATGTTAAATTATAAGTTTAGTTCAAACTTTCACAACAGTGTCTAAAATATTTCTGAACTTTTATGTGTCTATTAGATACCTAGACTTTTAGTTTTATGTCTCGTAAGCTCTAAACATCAAAAATATCCAATAAATTTTTAAACATTGAGAAAAATTTTTAAAATAAAATAAAATTGAAGGGCATATAATAATAGTCCCACAAAAGGAGAAATAAAAAAAACATCCTCTAGTTTTGTTTTTTTTTTTTTGAAATCCACGTGTCTGAACCAGCTTGCAAGTACCTCGACTAATCACGGGTCAACCGCCTCACCCTACTACATTTGGTTGACAAGGTAACTCGTAGGATATTAAATCCTAAATAGGTGGCCACCTCATTCCCTCTAAACCCTTTGCTATTTACTTACATTTGCCCTTATTGACCACTAGGTCATCCCATGATGGTTAAAAACAAAAACAAAACAGTTGTCTGGTGTAACAAAATAAGATCCAAAGAAGCAATTCCAAAGTATAAAACATCTCAAAATAAGACAATCCACCAAACGTCTCATGATAGTAAATTCCAAACCAAAGAAGCAAAATGACAGTTCCATAGAAGATGATCAAGGTCCTTTGTTGCAGCCGTATAGAGGGTACAACACCGAGGCATATCAAAATGGACGATTTCTCCAAGGTATAAAACTCTACGGTCCTTTGTTGCAGCCGTATAGAGGGTACAACACCGAGGCATATCAAAATGGACGACTTCTCCAAGGTATAAAACTCTACCGTAAGGACTTACGACACGAAAAAATGACCTTAAGAAATTTAACATTATTTAGCGAGGAAAAGACGGGAGTTGGAAGGAGAAAAAAAAAATCTACAAGAAAATCCTTCAAAGAACTAGGACCCCAAACACAAATATCCCTTCTCCCTGAACTATCAGTGTAATCACTGACCAAAGATAAAAAGAACCACATTATCCGTCATTTCTCTATTAGACAAAGGACAACCAAAAAAAAAAAAAACCAAGAGCAAGAGAAGATGAGTTTCCAAAAGAAGATAACACAAAAGCCACCAATTGATTCCCCACAGAAGTTAGATAGTACAAATGAGAAAATAAATGATTCCTAAACTTAAAAAATGTCTACTAGATTTTTTGAACGTTCAATTTCGTATCTAATATACCTCTGAACTATTGAATACGTTTTAGAACTCATGAACTTATTGGCACAACAAAAATCTATATAACATAAATTGAAAAGAAACTAATTAAACACTTCTAAAGTTTAAGGACTACGGGACAAAATTGAAAGTTTAAGAACCTATTAGACACAATCTTGAAAATTCAAAACTTGTAACTTAATATGAATAAATAAGTTATCAATCTAAAGAGATGCTAAGGTTTGATCATTGTGATGAGTCTGACGGCATTAGAGCAAAGCATCAATATGGGTGGATCCAGGCACAAGAGAATACAGCAAAGCCTCATCAATCATAAGAAACAACAAGATGGCATTGTAATATAACATGATATTGGTAAGTGAATTGTCATACCAGCTCTCCATGTCACTAAATTCATAAACTTCCCTCCAATACATATGTTTACACTACGAGGCACAAAAATGGAAACAACTGCAACAAGTCTAGCGTCCACGCCCACGACCACGCCCACGCCCTCGTCCGCGTCCCCGTCCCAAAGGCCTCCCTACAGTTGCAGCAGATTAGAGAAGTACATGAGCAACATATTAGATAATGAAATTGATTAGCATATAATTCAACATACAACAATGACCTGCAGGAAATAAACCATAAAATACAGGCCAGAATGCAAAAATGACGCATAATACCTGCAGTTGGTTTCTTGGGCTTGACCCTGGGTGTCTCTTCAACAAGTAAAGTCTCAAGATTCAAGCTGTCAGGGAGAATATAATATCTGATGTTGTTACCCCTCACACTTAAATGATCCATGGTAACTGGATTTTTCCCCTTTAGGGTAAGTTTCACAGCCTTCAAATGTGTATTCATGCTAATGTCCACACCTAAGTAATACAAGAAAATCAACCTGTCAGTAACTTCTAACCTTGACCAGTACTTACTTTAAGGTCATGCAATGTCATTGAATATTACTAAATCTAAACTTAACAGCTGCAATGATGTGGTGTTAGTCTCCTCTCTCTGGTAGTCATCAAAAAAACACTTGTTAGTTTGTTAGTATTTTGGCTTGTTTTTGGAATATTTATTTCAGGGCTATTGATTTGGCCTGGTCTCTTTGGTGGTCATTGGTTTTTTCTTCTTCTCCATTTGGAGGTTGTTTACTTGCTCATTTTGTTTCTTTTCATCTATTAATGAAAAGTTGTTTCTTACAAGAAAAAGAAAAGTGAAACATTCAACTTAACTTAGATGCTTCTATGAATTATAGTCTAAAAAACCTTTCACAAGGCATAAGCATAACAGCAATGTAAGTTGTTCAAACTTCAAACATATTGTATATATCGAGATGCTAATAGTCTCAAGTCCAAATCCTCCCACAAAGGATGCAACCAACTAAAATTATGACACTGAGTCTTAACTCTTCCTTTTCCTTTTTTTTCTTGATAATCGGGAGTTAGAGCTTTGCTCTCCTATACCTAGGACACCCACCCCCACCCCAAGGCTTAGAGCCAAGAGACGTCAAGGCTTTTTTGTATTAAGCTCACTTGAAGGTTTGAACTTGAGACCTCTAAGTCAGTATGACCAAGAGACCCCAACCCTTGCCAATAAGGCCACCTCTTGGGGGCAATCTTAACTCTTCCTTTAAACATCTTAAGAGGAAGACTCTTACCATTAATAAATATATTGGTCTTGGTAATATCAGCATAGAGAAATACATTGTAGTGTTGCAAATAGGGATCTACGTAGTCCAAGACTCTGAAGTTATCAAGAGGATTAATGGTACATCAAAACCATTCGACATTGACAGTAAAATTCAAACTCCAATTATCCCTTCAGGCTGAAATGTTAAACTTCCAATAATAATTGGAGATAGAGAAGAAAAGAGAATTGCAGTTGAAGTTTGGAGAATGCTCTGCCTACAAGTCCATAATTCTAGGGTTTAACAGGATCAAGAAAGTGTTTATGCAAAGCATGTTGTGATTGAAAGAGAGATGGAGACCTGTGATAGTGCCATGGACAACGGTTCCATTTTTGAGCTCGATTGAGACAGTCTCATTGTTGAGCTTCATCAAAAACCTGCACAGTCATCAAAACCAAGTTTCAAAACATAAAACCAGTCATTCAATGCTGTGAACAAATAAATGGAGACAAAAGAAACTCAAGGAAGAATTTAAAAAAAAAAAAATGGCATACCTGACGAGCTTCATGATAGCAGAGGAAATACAGAATGTAGGGTTTCTGGTTCGGCACAATGGAAAGAAAATAATCAACCGGCGAAGCTAGTTCAAACTAGCAGTATTTCAGCAGCTGCAAGATACTTCATTCGTGATTGTAAACTCCAAAAGTGCATGATGCTTCTATCCTAGCATCTACATATATGTCCCTAAAGCATATGAAAGATGGAACAGGCCTAACTAATAGCCCAACTACAACAACTCAGCAGGGTGGCAAAACACAATCAAATGTGCTGTCCATTGACCAACAACAAGCCCACAAATAAAGATGGAAAACCATCTATAACAGGGGGGAAAAGAATCAAACAGACGCAAAACCCACATGAACATAAAGTACGAGTGAACCAGAAACATCAGTTCTCAACCATAGGCCACATCAATTTCAAGCACAGACAAACAAACAAAGGGGTAGATGAGGAAATTTAAAGAGATTTCTTCATAAGTAACCCTAAATGCTTGACACCCTAAACCACTATAACAAAAAGACAGAACTTATAATCAGATGCCAACTATAGTCCCAGTCTTTAAATACTTACCCTGGTGGAGGACAAAAAGAAGTTCCCGTCTCGTACCAAATATTATTCCTGCACAAACAGATAACAAGAATTTGAATCTTAGCTTTTTCACTAACGATAAATCCATCCTGCTAACAACCACTCATAAACTTATGCTCAACACATCCTCGTTAATCAGCAAAAGGAAGTTTATATGATGCTGAGCTAACAGTAACAGCATAAAAAGAAGTCATATTAACTAAAACCACAAATAAAAAATATTCCCTAGGTTATGAGAACCTAGGTAGGACTTGACAAAGTTTGACATACCTAATACATTTAACTTTGGAGGTTTGACTTTTGAGATTATAAGAGAGAGAATGAAAAGATCTTTCATGCTATCACATTCTAGAACGAACTCAGAGAGCTATGCATGCCAAATCTTTCTATGACAATCCCAAGACCCTCTTAATTGTGTTTCAAAATAGAAGAGAAGATTAGACTACTTTTAAATCCATGTACAAATAACTATTACATATTATAAAATTTAACAAATGTTTAAGTAATTTGACTAATTATAATTCATTGATTTCATCCAAGGGATTTAATGATTTCCATTCAATTTTTTGCTAAACAAAATTCATGTGAATGTTTGAATTATTTGACAAGAAGACCCACTATCATTAAATAAGTGCTTCTAGTTCATTATTGTTTCTATAATGTCAAACCAGTAAAGATATTACATGCCAATCAATAGATTAAATTGGTTTGGAAGCAAATTTTGTCATCCAAATTACTATTTTAAAGTTCACAACAAGGGTCTAAAAGCAAATGACTATAAAGATTATGTTTCACTTGTTGATAAGCAATGTCAAAAGGATGAATTTACAATAATTTTTTGAGAAATGTTATTGGATACAACATAACAATAAAATTTTTTTGACAAAAGTATGATGTGTTATGATGACCATTATCTCACGAGAAAGAATATGAGATGTAGAGCAGGACCTCATAAATTTACAACCAAATGCACAAAGCATTGGAGTCTTAAGCAATATAATGGAAAGCCAGTTATGATTGTGAGCTTTTGTCAGAGTAAAGCAGTAATTTTAATTCTGGAGGAAATAAAACCACAAGCTCCATTTTTTGTACCAACAATTAAAAATTGTTTCCCCTAACTTCGGATAAAAAAAGCAATTCTATTGAAGGCTTTCAATATACTATGAATAGGTCAATAGCTTTCCATTTTCCAAAGATCTTTTGAAAATATTAGAAACGTTTTTAGATATAAAAATCATCAAAAAGAAAAAGTTGGAGGCCTGAATGATAGCCATTAATTTTTTGGAGAAGCTAAACACCTACAACAGATTACAATGAAGAATGCCAAATTGAGCTTGTCTCCTTCCCCATGCCTGTTCTGCAAAAAGGATAGGGAATATAGTCAGCACTTGTTCTTCTCTGTTCATATGTTACCGTGTGTTGGAATAAGCTTCTGAGAGTTTTCAATCTGTCCTGCTCGGTCTTTCCCAAGCATTTCAGCTTATATTTGGAACCTATTTTGGTGGAAAGATCAGAATTCTATGGTCCAACATGATGGTTACTCTTCTTTGGAACTTATAAACAGAAAGGAATGTGAGAAACATTCAGGAGGAAGAAACGCGTAGCAATGATGATTGGATTTAGTCAAATTTCATTCCTCCCCAATTGGTGTGTCCGCTATTGTGAGTTCTGTAATTATGGTTTCTCATACATTTTTACACCAATTGGAAGTCTTTTTTGAAATCCCCTTGGATTTTCAAGGATAACCCATCACCTCTTTTGTACATCATCAACCCCCAGCCATAAACCCAAACCCCAAACTCTAAAACCGTGCTAGTTGCTGCCCCGTTATTTAAAGCCCTTGAACTTCTGTCTGGAGGACTCCTTGACATAATATTTTGTTAAAATTTAATGGAAAAAGGTCAACAACAGAAAACTTTCTTCACCAAGTGCATCTACTGACTTCACTACTGCAATACTATAATAACAAAATTACACTCAAACATAAAACCCTACAAACTTTTATCATTGTTATCAACCTTAAAAGGTTTATATCGCGTCTCCATGAAGAAAATTCATGTTCACCGAGTGCCCCATTTCATTGACGCCCCACTTTCACATCGACTTCCAATTTCGAGCCCATAAAAGGCAAAATACGAGGCAGAGCGGTAGAAGAAGGGAAAATGGGAAACAAGAAAACAAAGAGTAAACCAGCCAGGTGCAAAACCAACAAGTTCTGACGCCACAACAACTAATTGAAATCCCGTGAAGGAATAATAGAATCGTCAGTGAGAAATAACAAATGGAATCGGAAGAAGAAATTTCTCGAGCCAACCAAAACATCAACAGAATGAAAAATAAAAGAACATTACTATGAACAGAAAAACAAGAGAGAGATTGAGAAGAGTACCTGAGATCGAGGGAGGTGCGAAGCAAGAAATGGACGGGAAAACGAAGTGAAATTTGAAAAGGGAGGGAGGGAAGCAGACGGCTAGGGTTTACGATTATAATTTTTTTTCTTTTTTCATTTTTTTTCTCTTTTAATAAGAATTTTTTTTAATACAATAAATGTAACCCAAAATTTGAATCTTACTTCAGTAAAATGGATACATGTCTGAACTCTTACTCGTATTTTTTCTTATTCAATAATTAAAATGGTAGAGATTGAACCATCAACTTTTGAGGTGATATTAACGTACTTTGTCCATATGTTTTTTACCTAAATTGTTCCATCTTCTTTCAATTTCAACATATCTCACGGAAACTACTTATTTTTAATTTCAGTTTACTTTTATTTTTGGTTCATTTTGGTATTTATGTTTTCAATTTTTGTTTATTTTAGTTCATCTACTTTCAAAATGTTTCAAAATGTTTGTTTTGATCTATGTAGTTTAAAAAGTTTTTATCTTTAGTCTCAATTTACAACATTTTGATATAACTTATGCACAATGTAAATCATTTAATATAAATTTATAATTATATTTCAAAAATAAAAAATTAGTGAGTAAAGGGTCATGCCAAAATTTTCATTAAAATAAATAAGATAAAAATGAAAATGAAGATCTAAAATGGGCATTTTTAACAAGTGGAAGGACCAAAGAWCGTTTCGAAAGTACGAAAAATAAAATAAATAAAAGTTCAAAGTATACAGACCAAAATAGATATTTTAAAATAACATGAACATAAATAAACTAAAATCAAATATTTGTATATTTGTACTGTACATCTCTATAAAATATCACGAATTCTTTTCTCAAAAAAAAAAAAAATCACAGATTCAAATTTTCCCATCTTATTCTTAAAGAAGAAACCATCAATAATATAAGGTAGGTATGCTTTTTATTTATTATTTATTATTTTTTTTAAACCAAAGTATGCTTTTGAAATTGTGATAATAATAATTAATTTTTAAATTAAATATATTATGCATGACAAATTAAGCTTAGTTGAATTGAGTTTTTAAATTGATTAAGACATATACATACAAATTAGATATTTGAATATCTTTTTGTTGAACTAAATAAACAAATAAATTTATTATTATCCACTAAATTTTAATTCCTTTTAGTAAGAACAATAAAATAATAGGAACAATATAAATGATAAAAATATATTGTAAATTTTACATAATTAATACCATTTAAAACTTTTTCAATTAAAGTTAATTCGACAAATTTAAAACTAAGTAATTAAAGATTATTATGTTTAGATTTAATGAATTAAACTGAAATAAGTAGCAAAATTCAAACAGTCAAACATTTATAAGATAACTAAAATATTAAAGGAGACCTTTTTTAGAATGAAAAATAACAAAAAAAAAAACGAAACACTAAACAGAACTTTTTTAAAAATAATTTTTAGACTTAAAAATTGATGTTATGATTAGAAAAACAAAGACATAATAGAAACACTACCAAAAAAAAAAACAGACATACGAAAATACAAAAATGAAAATACAGAAATTTTCCTTCGTATAATATGATTTTATTGAAAAGAAAAAACATTTGGTACTTTTCAATTTGAGGAACCTTTTTTTTGTTGGAAAAGCAATTTGAGGAACCTAAAATAATGAAAAAAAAACCTAAGAGTATATTTACAAAATTTTGAACTCAAATATAAATAAAAAAACGTAGAAAAAAATAATAAAACCCAAAACAAATATTAGAAAATAGTATCCGATCAATTTATTAAAGTTTAATAATAAAGTCCGAATAAATTTATATTAATTTAAATATGTGGCATAGTGTTGGGATTCGAATTCACGACATTTTAGTTGGAAATAGATGTTGTTGGAGGTGATTTTTAGCTCACACATGGCACATATTGACTGGATAATAGAAGTCACACATGACTTTGATTGATAAAGTCTCAAGTTTCATTGCCTCGACCTCATCTCCCACGACCGAGCCGATCCCTCGTGCGGCCGAGCTAACCAAGCTTACTTGAAATCCCGTTCCCATTTATTGGTTGAATTGATTATCTTAACATTGGCTCAGTCCCAATCTTCGACAGAATCCACGACAACATGCCGCAATTCACGGAAACTTTAAAGAGTTGTCGAGGTTTTGATGGGAATATTGTCAGGGAAGTTACTTATAAATAGAACTCATTCACTTAATTTTGAGGTATGCAAACACTCAATTCCCCCCTCGCATTTAGTTCGGTCAATTACTGACTTTAGCATCGGAGTGTGTTCTATTTTGCAAGCTCCTTACTCAAACCATTTCTAGCTCGTTCGTCGAGTCATTCTCTGCTTTAGTCAAAGTTTGTGGTGTTGGTCAATTTCTTGATCAAACATATGTCTAAACTAGTTGAGCTATGCTCAGTTTGACAGATTAGTTAAGAATATGATAAAACAATATAAGTGTTATTTATCATTTTTAAGAAATGTTTTCAAAAGTGTATAAAAATTTAATAAATAACAAAATCCAGTTTTTTTTCCTCATCGCTCCCAATTTTACTGACTTATAAAATGCATAACTAATATTAAAAAGTACCTATAACATACAAATTTTCAACATTTAATTTTAAAAAAATAAATTTCACATAAAAAAATTTACTTTTTTATTTAAAAATTAAGAGAATCAGAAATAATAAAGGGTTATTAAACATACTTTTGTTTATTTATATAAAAAAAAGCAATAAACAATTTTCAAACACGATTCTGTTTGTACTTATTAGAAAAAGAGAAAATATGAAATAAAAAATAGAAACAAGAAAGAGAAACGTTATCAAACAAGTCCTTGCTATTATTGTTATTTTCACTCAATAATAATAAGTTTGTTTCTTTAAAAAAGAAAAGCCACTTTTTTAATATCAAGTTGGACATATTAGCCAATTAACACCTTATATACTTGATTACAAATTATTAAATTTGTTGAGAGAAAAATAAAGCAAAAATGTACATAGGACTTCAACAAAATATCAAGCTTCAATGTATAATGCTATTCAAAGTGTGCATATTCTACTATCTAGTATCAAAAGTTCCATTGTTATCCTTCCTTTGGATGACACCATTTTAGAATGCTTGGGGTGCCTTTGCAAACTCCAAACTGTCTGGCTGTGAAGATATGCTTTGTAAAATGCTTTCGATTTCCTTAACCACTTCGCTCATCACAGGTCGATTTGCAGACRATTGTTCGATACATTGTATGGCCAACTCCAGGAACCTTCCAAATCCACTGAGACTTGTCATCTCGTTTCTGATGGTTGCGTCGATTATATTCGTCAATCCATAATGTTCTTTGTCATTCTTATTCATGAGCACAAGCACTTCGTGAACTAAGTACTTCCCTTTCTTGATTGCCTGCTTAGAAGTAATTAATTCGAGCATAACAACACCAAAGCTGTACACATCGCTCTTCTCGGTTAATTTTTGCGTCGTGTAATATTCTGGATCGATATAGCCCTGTAAATGAATGCTCTTCTAAGAAAAATGACTGCATATCAACAAAATGCCATCCCTAACATTTTGGGAAATTTTAGAATTGTTTTGCTCCATTTCAAGATGTTCGTATGGATACCAGAGTCATGATGAACTAAATTCTGATACATATTTTTCAACTACAAATAAGCCTTCAATTTATTTATTTTTTTTTTACAAAAAGGTCAAATCTAAAGCTTCATTTGATAACTATTTTGTTTTGCGTTTTTAAAAGTTAAAGTTTATAAACACTATCTATGTGTTTTTCTGGTTTTGTTATCTACTTTATAAAAACATTTTCAAAATCAAAAGTAAAAAAATGTAGTTTTTAAATACTTGTTTTTGTTTTTGAAATTTAGGTAAGAATTCAAATGTAAACATGAAAACCAAAGAAATGATAAGGAAAGTAAAATTCTTAAAAACAAAAAACGAAATGGTCAAACAAGACATAAAAGATTAACCAAATGCGTGTACTTATAAAGTAAAATATCAAAAACTTCTTTCAAGAAGTCGAATAGTAGGATTTACTCATTTCCATAGGTTTGCAAAATTAGGTTCCGTTTAATACCAAATTCGTTTTTTTTTTCTGTTTTAAAAAATGATGGTTATTTCCTCTCGATTTCTTTGGTACATTTGAACTCTTAGCCAAATCTCAAAATCAAAAATAAAATTTTTAAAACCATTTCTTTTAGTTTCTAAAACTTTAGCTGCGTTCAAAATTGGATTACAAAGCAAAGAAATACGAGTTAAAACTAGTGCCTGTAAGCTAACTTTCAAAAACAAAAAACAAAAGAACAAAATAGTTATCAAACGAGGCCAGTTAATTTTTGTTCAGTACATGCTCGAATGAAATGGCCATAAGATGCAAAGGGATGACGAGAAGTACGTACCCAAGTGCCTTTAACCACGCTAGAAGAATGTCCCTTTTCATGGTCGAATACAAGCTTGGACAAGCCAAAATCAGCAACCTTCCCATTCAAATATTCATCCAACAGAATATTGCAGGACTTGATATCTCTATGGATTATAGGAGGATTTGCAAACTCGTGAAGGTAAGTTAGTCCTCTTGCAGAGTCAAGTGCTATCTGTAATCTTCTATTCCAATCAAGATGGATACCAGAAATCCCTGTATATAAAGAGATGCCTATTGCTATTAGTTACCATTTGAGTTTCATAGAAGAAAAATTATGAAAGAATTAACAGTTCGGAATTCGGATTACATTATGTACTTCAAAGCTCAGTTTTAAAAGAAAATGTTAAGTTCCACATGATAACCATTTTTTTTTTAGTTTTTTGTTTTTGAAAATGAAGCTTATAAACACTACTTCAATATATATGTTACTTGGTTTTGACGTATGTTCCATAAAAGGTTTGAATTTTGAAAACTAAAAAAAATTAAAAATTTGTTTTTTTTTTTAAATTTATCTTTGTTACTTGGTTTTGACGTATGTTCCAAAAGGTTTGAATTTTGAAAACTAAAAAAAATTAAAAATTTGTTTTTTTTTTAAATTTATCTGAGAAATCAAAATGTATTTTTAAGAAAGGTGAAAAATATATTAAAGAAATCGTGAGGAAGCAAGCAGCAGAAAACTAAAAGGAAATTGTTATCAAATGGGACCATAGTTGTAAACGTCGAGTTTTTAATCAAACAATACTTATTCTTGTATAAGAGAGAGTAATAGAAAATATGAAAAGAACGAGGGCAAAAAACAGATAAAATAATTCTTCTATTATTTGAACAGAATACTGTAATAAAATCCAAACTAAAAGGATATGTCCTTTTATAGAAACTAGAGCTACTTCATCAGCTACAAGTGAAAGCAAACCAACTAAATAAAGCATAAAGAGCGAGTTAAATAGAGTAACACAATTATGTTAGGATCCCAAATACACTAAAACAAACACGATAACTATATTGTAATTTCAAACAGAACCTACAATATCAATAGCCTTTCGAGAGGGCTATCTCTCTCCCGAGAACTCTCTCAAGTTCCTCACCAAATACTATTCTCAAAGATATCTCCTCCTATCCACACTACCTCTATTTATAACTAACTCACACTCAACTAATTACTATAGCGCCTAACTCATATACTAATACTATTCCCAAACTATCCCTATTAGGACTCTCATAAATTACTATTATTTCTGATATATCTAAAACAACGTGTATGCTCCAACTTAGCTTCATTTAGTAAGACAAGTTTGTTATTTTAACCTGTGATGCAGAAGTTTTGGCCAAAAAAAAGTAGTTCCATGGTTATGCCCAAGAGGTTTCTTTAGGTAGGTTTGGTATTTCAACTTGTGTGAATGGACAAAAACTCTTGTGAGGTTGGATCTCAAATGGGATACAAAATTCCTATTTGAAAAAGGATTGGAGTTAGAGATATGGAAAGAAAAATCTTCCCAATTCTGAAATGGAGACAAGAAATAAATTCTCTGCCTTAACCCTGACCTTGGCCTCATCCTCGAATTTCTTTAATTATTATTATGAAAGAAATTATGATGAGTAGCAGAACTGGTAGCAATACGCAAAAATAATTTGTAAGAATATGGAAAATTTTTCATAGTACATCCCTAATATACATTGGTATCATTGATAAAGTATATCATTGCTACACCATTTGCTAAATTATATCACTAATATACCATTTATGAGGTAAAGTATATCATTGATATATCAACATAAACTATACTACTCGTAGATCATTTTTGCATCATTGATATACCTAATAAAAAGTAGATCAATTATGTATATTGTTGATATATGAGTTTTTACATTGTTGTCATTTTATAAAATATTTTATCATGTGACATATATGCTATTATTTAGGCCGACTATGCTATTATCGGAAAAAGCCCTTTATTATTAGGTATGTTTATCAACTCTTTAAGCAAATAATTAGCAAAGAATGATAACTTTTAAACCAATAAACTTACCAGAAAGGCTCTGTCGAAGTGATCCATTAGGCATGAATTCATAAACAAGCATCTGTTCTCCTTGTTCACAACAAAATCCTAGAAGGCCGACTAGATTCTTGTGATGAACTCGTGAAAGCAATTCAATCTCCGTCTTGAACTCAAGTCCACCCTGCTTCGATCCTTGCTTGGCTCTTTTGATTGCAAATACTTGTCCATCCCCAGCCATTCCTCTATAAACCTAGAGAAAAGAAAAACAGCTCTTAATAAAGCAAATCTTACATTTAAAACTGCAAAAACAAAAGGACAAAACTTGCATGTTTAGGGTGCATTTTGTTGGTAATTCAGAAAACAGAAATTTGAAAACAAGGGATTCAATGAAAACCAGAGTTGTATTCTTTGTTTTAATTTCAACAAACATAAAATGAGTTTACAATATGAAGTAATATATTTATCAAAGTTTTTATCATTTTTAATGTAATTCTGTATCTTAAAATCTTCAAATTCTGAATTTGAAAACACTGCAAACATAAAAAAGTCATTTTTAGGATTTCTACTGTTTGGATCACAGAATCCGAAAACAGTTTTAAAAAACGAATCTCCAAAATCCTGCCAAACACGTATTCATTGAATCCATTTGATTCAGTAAATCTAAAAACAAAAAATAGAATTCGAGTTTCCAACCAGGCCCTTACCTTTCCATATCCTCCAACTCCTATCTCATGCCTTGCAGAGAAATTATTTGTCAACTTTATAAGCTCACCATAAGAAAAATATATTGCTCCCTTTAATTGTGGTGCGTCTCCACTATCTTGTTCAATCGAGGACCAGGAAGCTGGAGTAAATTTGAGACAATAGATTTTTCCCCACATTAGAAAAGATTAATTCAATAAAATAGAATTAAGAAAAAATTCTAAAGGTAGATTGTATAATTATAAACATTTAGAGATCAGCATCTACAAGAAAGAAATTAAGAAATGAACTCTCTGCAAACAACGTCTGGAGATGAAATCCTAATTACATTACTGCAAGGCCAAAATTAAATTTAGAAGAGCAAGCGAGAGAAAATAAGCGGAGAGTGCCTTCTTGATTACCTGAAGAGAATTTTAGGCATAATGGGTATACATAATTATTATCACGAGGATTGGGCTGGCAAAAGAGATTCTCCTCCTTTTTTGGGAAGATAAATAGGGGAAAAAGCTTAGGTCCCATTTGATAATCATTTTATTTTTTGTTATTGATTTTTCAAATTTAGCTTATAAATATTTATATTACTTTAACTCATGTAATTCTTTATTTTGTTATCTACCTTTTTAGAAATATTTTCAAAACACTAAACCAAATTTTGAAAACCAAAAAAAAAAAAATTGTTATCAAACGGGACATCACTGTTTAAAGCCAGTAATAATTTTATATCCCCAATCCGCTAATTATAAACTCCAAGCACGTTGATTAAAAAAAAAGTATCGTTAACACCACTTACCAAATGGCTTACTCAATGCAACGGCTCTTGATACTCGTTTCTTCTGCTTTACTGCATATATACCAACTCCAATGAGGCTTAGGACCAGTAAGGCACAACCAACTGCAATGCCAATCAGCCACCAATTGCGACTAGAAGTTCCCACATCTGCAGCTTAATAAAATTATGTTTTTATCATTAGTTCATGATGGCCAATGCTAAGTCATGGGAACTGAGTAACATTCTGATTTTAAAATGATCATTTAACTTACCTGAAAAGTTGTAAGGATTTAGAGAGAAATAAAAGGATCCTAACACTTTAGAAAGATCGAAAGTTTGATGACTCAATGTAGACGCAATCCCCAGAATTTCTGACCGGTTGAAACACTTTCCAGAGGGTGGAAAAAGGTCGACTTGCATCTTAAGGTAATCATCACTATTAAACAAAGGAGCTTGAATAGAAACTGAAGCAGAAGGAAGCTGTAGTTTCTCCGCAAGGTTCTGTTGCAGTAACCGAAACAGAGTCCTATTAGACAATTCTCTTATCAAGGGCCCTCTGAAGTACAAAAACCCTTCAAATGGATATTGACATTCACAGCTTTGACTTTGAGGGTTACTCTTCTGACCAGTGGGGCATAAGCAGTTGATAGAATCGGTAGAATTAGGCCCTGGAGCTTGCAGTTCAAGTTGGCAATCATTTTCTTTTAAGAGAGGATCAACATCACACACAGGATTTCCTTTAAGCCTACAAAAGTAAAACACGTGACAATGGAATAAATTAGTAAAAGTCAGCAAAAATAACATCATGCAATCTCAAGTTGAGGAAGTGTGGGCTCAGAAGTATGGATACGAGCACGAGACACATATATAACACGATATGGACACGGTGACACATCATTTTCTAAAAATCTAAGACTCAAACACAATAATGACACGTTCATTAAATATAAWTTTTTTTTAAAAATAGTATCATTTTTATAAGAAAGAAATTTCAAGTCCATAAACTTGTAGATTTATATGCTTAAAAGGGCGAGTTTTATGTAATATGCTCTCGAAATTTATTATCTTTGTCCTATATTACTATTTATGTCTATCTATTATGCTTAATAAGTGTTTGATAGGTGCCTAACAACTCCCAGACTCATATTCAATCTCTACCACTAGTGTCTTATACACGTCTATTGTGCTAACAAATGTCTGACACAGAGTGTCGGATAGCAACAAGTTACAAAAACTAAAGTGCCCGTGCTGAGAGTCTCTCTTACATCAAGGTTTTGTTATATCCAGACAATGCAAGTCGGGAAATATGATTATTTTCCAAATCAACAAGCTTCAGCTTCTGGTTGACATTGCCACCAAAGCTCAATGTCCCACCAAATAAATTGTACTTCAGTTTTCTGTAACAAATTTTATAAAATTAGTTCCTCATTTTTCCTTTCTCTGACTTGGGGCATAATAGCACTATCAAATCTTACATTTGTTGTATCTGTGGTAAGCTAAAGATTGTTTCCGGCACAGATCCTTGTATTGACCCATACTCAATGATTCTGCAAACGTGTTAGTAGAGACAATTGCCATTTTATTTCAGATATCCAAACACTTCTCGGATTTCTCATTTATAGGAATTATTGAAACTATGAGATAAAGTTTAGTAGTGAGCTATCAAGTACTTACAAAGTGGTAAGAGTAGGTAAGCTTGAGAACCAACCTGGGGCTGTTGATGAGTCAAATGAGTTGTTACTAAGGTCCCTATAAATCAATTATCAATGAGAATTTACCGATTAAATGAAGAGGCATTTACCTAAACAGTATAAAATAAATACGTATTTTTAAGTATAGCAGAAAATTTGAAATTTTACAAAAATAGCACAATCCAAATCAAATTAAAACTCAAGTTCAAGGYAAGACACACTAAGAAAAGTCACCTGATGCTACATTTTGAAAAAGAAACGAGAAGTTGAAACATTTTTTTGAATATGGATACAAATTTAAATGAACTAAGTTGAAACATTTTCTTGAATATTGATAAAAATTTAAATGAACTAGAATAGGAAGATTTCATTTGAGATAGTAGTCTCTCGTCCATATACTTACACAACACACAGTGAAGTCATTTGAATTAAATTTGGGAATGGACCTGTCAGATTATTGTGTGCCAAATTCCTAAAAACGAACACAACATACATAGAAAGAAAAGTTTGATTACTCATCAATGAAATAGCAGAAATGAAATGAAATGTTTCGGCCCATTTGATAAAGATTTCGTTTTTACTTTTCTGTTTTTACAAATTATGCTTGCTTTCACACAATTTCTTTGGCATGTTTTTCACCTTTCTTAAAARAACATATTGATATTCTTAGCCAAATTTCAAAAACCAAAACAAGTTTTTAAAAATCGTACTTTTTTTTGTTTTCAAATTTTGGCTTAGATTTTGAGGATGTTTCTAATATAGCAAACCAAAGAAATATATAGTTAAAGTAGCATTTATAAACTTAATTTTCAAAAACAAAAAGCCAAAAACAAAATGTTTATCAAATGGGGCTTTCACTTTATAATTTTTGGAAAAAGATAAATACCCACAATTGAGTGAGTTGTCTTAAGTTGCTAAGATTTGATGGGAAATTTCCTGTTAGAGAATTCCTATCAAGTCGGCTGCAACATATTTGAACCGTCTTAGTAATTAGTAAGTTGAACGAGAGGATATTTCATGAAAAATATCAAAAAGATTAAAATATCAATGTCGATAGAGGTGCCAAGACTATATTTTGCAGATATATTGATAGATATATCGACCTGTAAACCAAGAAACTTACAAAAGTTATTTTAATCAATAAATAAGTTATTTTCACTCTTTAAATAAGTTATAAACCTTATTGTTATTATTCATATTCATATTGGTGATTAATTGATAATATTTTGTTTATGTTTCATTGATATTTATATGATATATCGATAAAATCAATGTTGATTTAGAGATATATTGATATATCGACATGTCCGACAAAAATTTTTACCATTGAGTATATACTAAACTTACAGAACTTCAAGAGTCTTAACAAGTCCTAAGGTCTGTGGAATAGTCCCAGAAAACTGGTTCCCATCCAATACTCTACAATGAAGCCATTGGTAAAGTCTTAGGATAGAAAGAATGATTGGAACAGAAAGTTAAGAGTTTATGTTACTCACATGTGTATTAATTTCATATCAGAGTTAAAAAGATTGGTTGGTATAGAACCTGATAGCCTGTTCTTGCTCAAGTGACTACAATTCACAAAATCAAAGGCCTTAAGACGTAGAAGTACATAGGAGTGTAGAAACTTCTAAATTTGAGATATAATTGATAAGAAAAGAAAAGAATACTCACAAATGCCTAGCTTTGAGAAGACGGTCCAGACCTGGTGAATCATAAGTTGAAACAGGGAGAGGCCCATCCAACTGATTGTCTATCAAGTCTAGCAAATAAAGTTTGGAGAGTTTTCCCAGAGTACGAGGTATAGGACCAATGAGTTTGTTTGAATTCAAAGCCCTGAAATGAGAGTTTTGATTTAATTTAATAAGGGGAAAAAAGAGGAGGCTAAATGTATGTTTTAGTCCCTATTGTTGGGGTGTTTTTTGAATTTAGCACCTACTGTTTAAAAAGTTTCAAGTTAGTTCATTACGTTTTAACATTTTTTCAACTATACCCTCATTGTTGGTGACTTTTAGATTAGCTGATAATAAACATACATCACATGATACTGGTCAGTTGGCAGTAATTTAGAGAAGAAATAGGTCACCTAAGAGATAAAAGTTTCTAATTCCCTCTAAATTTCTAATATGTTGGTATTTTACATCTTTTTCTAGGTCGTCTAGTTCCCCATCTAAATTTTTGCCAAYTCACCAAGTACCAATGTGATGTAAGTTTATCATCCGACAATTTTATCGTTCACCAACAAAAAGGAAAATTYCTAAAATGTTGGTATTTTACATCTTTTTCTGGGTCGTCTAGTTGCTCATCTAACTTTTTGTCAACTCACCAAGCACACCAAGTACCAATGTGCGTAAGTTTATCGTCCGACAATTTTATCATTCACCAACAAAAAGGGGTCAAATTAAAAAAAGGGTAAAATGTAATGGATTAAATTGAAATTATTTAAACTATAGGGACCAAATTGAAAAAATAATCAAACATTAGGGACAAATATAATATATATATAGCCCCAAATTGATAACTCGTTAGTCTTACAAGGACTGCAACTCAGTAAGATTGCCCAATTCTTCTGGAATTTGACCAGTGAAGCCACATTCAGCTAGGATTCTGAAAGATCAGGTTCAAAATTAGGCAAAAAAACAAAAGCATCCAACATTCAATTAGGTCAAATAAATTAAACAAATGGGCTTCGTAGCTCTTACAAGAAGTTCAAATTTCGCAAATCCCCCAACCTAGCAGAGAGTGGACCAGTGAGATCTCTATTAAAAGAAAGGTCCCTGTAACCAAATCATCAAAACCTAGAATCTTACTTAAACAGATATAGGAAGATGATTCAAAGTAATCAAAATTCATACTTCTGCCGCATAACTTAACCGAAAGAGACAGTTTTAACTTACAATGCTACTAGATTAGTGAGGCCTCCAATGTCGCCACTGAGTTGGCCTATAAGCCCCATTGATGCTAATTTTCTGCAAAGGTGAAGATCAAAGAGAAAGTGAGAGTATAGTAAAAATCAATGAGAAATACAGAGAAGAAATTTGAGGAATATAAAATTTACAGCTCAGTGACTCTTGAATCGTTGCAAGTGATTCCATCCCAGTGATCTCCACCCCAGTGATCTCCACATGGATCGCCCGATGATCCCCATGAAGGTGGAGTATTTTGCCATTGCTCTTTCAACGATAGGAGGATTTGAACTACGTATGAGTAATTGGTCAAATTTCACTCCATTCAACTAATTTCTTCGAGGTGGCATTCCAACTCACTAAGGTTTAGTCGGAGAAAACGAAAATATCACATTTTGTTTAGCTGTCACGATCTGTAGACAAATATATATCGTTGAATTACGTTTGTTTTGCCTCATGGAACACGACCTTGATGTACCTTTTCTTTGGTCTTTTGATTATTTTAATACAGCATGATAACTATTACAGTACACAAATAAAGTGGACATTGTTGCATAGTTCAGGTCGTAGTGACGGTCTACCGGACGTTCAGGTAATTTCACGATCGGGCATAAATATCTATTAACAATGTTGGCTGGTCTTTTGATTTAAATTTGAAGTTTAAATCTCTTTTCGATATCTAAACTTTGGTGTTTCTTCTATTTCAACCCTTCAATTTTTCTTTAAATAACAAAAAAAATCATTTTGATTCTTGTTATTGTTATGTTAGTTGGGCTTGGTCCTCTAACATATGCTTATCTAATATTCCACTGGCCAACCTTATCTCATGCATATGTCTTATTCGATTGAACTATTACGTTATGTTCTGCTATATTTTTAGGATATTTTATTGTGTCTTCTAGTTTTTATTAGATAACTTTTAGACGAATAATATTTGAACGGTTTTTGCATTGTCACTATCGAGCGCACAAGTCCTTGTACGTCTTTGTTTAGTTTTGCATGTTTTATAAATATTTAAGTCTAGTTGGTTATGAAATTTGTGGAGTATTTTGATCTTAGATTTAAGAAATAATACTATAATCTCTTAATATTCGAAGGAACGGTAATTTGTTTAAACTCCTCTTGAAGTATGTGGGTTTTAGTGTTTGATGCAAGGATCCAAAATGTCAAAGAGTTGTTCAAGTCCATTCACAAAAAGTTGTAAGAATGATAGTTCTTTAAACCTAAAGTTTAGAGATTAGAGTAAATATTTTAAATTTTTATAGACCAAAAACTTAAACAAACTTGAAAGTTATAAGCACTAAATTATAAAATAATTTGAAAGTTACTAGATGTAAGCCTAAAATTTACTTGTTCTCATTTATTTATTAGAGTTTTTGAATGGTTAATTATTCGATATGTAGTAACATTTTTGGTAAAAGCCTCTAAATTAAGGACGTAATTTAATTTTTTACAATATCACACCATAAATATAAAGGGGAGATTTTTTAACCTACAACTTCTTAGACAAGCCGCTTTCTACTGAACTATGTTTAGATGGATAAATAAACGTTATTTAATTCACAATCATTTTAAAATTTTATAAGTAACTTTACTTTATTTTTTTTATTTATAAAGTATTTTTTTATATTTCATTTTTAGTATTACCATTAAATATCAATTATTTAATGAAAGTCATAATGAACCTAGCTTAATGGTAAATGACTCATTCCTTTGAAAATCCTCATGCATCATATTTGTTGTACTAAAAAAATGATTTAATGAAAAGTTTAATTTTCTCCTTGTTTTTTTTCGTTCAATATTGTAGGATTGGAGATTAAACCGACCATGATAGTAATAGGTCAAGGTGCATTGAGTTATGCTCGAACCAATCAACACACTTTTATCATATTCATGAACAAAATTCTACATATTTAGTTCAATTTCAAGTGTAAAACTTCCAAATTTGTGTCTAATAAGTATCTGAAATTTAAAAAATGTATGTTAGATCCATAAACTTTCAATTTTGTGTTTAGTAGATTTTTAATTTTAAAGTGCCCAATATAATAGGTCTCTCTGACCTATTTAGTAGTTTTTTAAATTAATGAATTCATTAGACGTAGAATTAAATTTTGTATTTAATAGAATCATAAAATTTAAATTTGTGTCTAATAAATATATGAGTTATAAAATTGTTGAATATGTCTAGAATTATTAGACACATCACACATAGTTGAAAGTTTAAGGATCTTTTAGGCATAAAATTAAAAGTTCGTGCACCTATTAGACATTTTTAAAGTTCAAAATTCTATTAGACACGAAATATAAAATTTCAAAGATCTATATTTAATATTTTTTTAAAGTTCTAAGAATGATTAGACACAAAACTTTGACGACTAAATTTGCAATTTAACCGTAAGATTTCAAAACGTAAACTTTTATCCACTTGGTAATATATTTTGTCAACTATTTTTTTCTTAGTACTAGAAGAGTTAATAAATTTTTGTATTCAATCCCTCGTTAAATATAATCGATGGTCTCTAATTTTTTAAGTAATTTTCAATTTAGTCCTATTTTTTTAAAATTCAAAATTTGATCCTTAATGAATTTAAAATTCTAAATTAGGTCTAAATTTTGTTTAGCAAAACATATAGGTGTCATTTAATTATTTCTGGTTAACATATTTAGATACATTAATATGTTGTTCTAATACCTACTTGACACATGAAACCCTTTCGGCCCATTACCAAAATTTGACACGACCATCGAAAAAATCTATTTCTTCCTAATGACATGTCCAAATGGTATGCTCGTGTGTCTAAATTTATTAATAAAATAATAATTTAAGGACAGATCAATTTTCTATCCTCAAATGCTGGTATATATTTTGTAGAATGAACTAGTTGAGAAATTTTAACACATTAAAAGTAAAATTGAGAATTTAAAAAGATTAAGGACCAAATTTGAGAAAAAGTTAAAGGATTAAAAATTTAATGGAAAAAAAAATTAAAAATCACTTTTGTGTCCCTTGTTTCATTGAAATAACAGTTTGTGAATTTAGTTTGTGACAATAATTTAATCTCTCTCCTCTCAAATTTGTAACAATTTAGTTCTTAAACTTTAATATGTAACAATTTTAATAATTGTAGTTTAAAATTTGCAATAATTTGGTCCATAACGTGAAAAATATTGTTAAAATTTAATGAGATTTCTTACCTATATAAATTGATAAAATGATGAGAGACAAAATGTGTTTATAAACTACAAAGATTAAATCGTAACATAATAAAAATCGACATTTAATTTTGATGAGATTTTTTACAGTAGGGACTAAATTGTTACAAGTTTTAAACTACAATGACTAAATTGTTACATACTAAAGTTCGGAGACTAAATTATTATTAATTCCAAAGTACAGGAACTAAACCCGTTACAAACTAAAATTCAAATATTATATCGTTGCTTCGACGAAAAATACAGAGAATAAAAGTATTTTTTAACCTAAAAAAAATGTGTTAGGAAATTCTTTATAATACTAATACACGTATGGCTTAAATACCATTTAAAATCTATGGGACTTTCAAGAATTATTCTATAAAATGTCCGTACCTAAACTTTCAAATTTATTATATCTGGATTGTTGGAATTTCAAATATTTATTTTAGTTAT